CCCCGCGCGCGCGCGCACGCCATGTCGCTCGCGCGCGCGTGTGAAGGGTCACGCACGATCGACATCGCGCGAGACGACGCGAGACGACGCACGCCATGGGTCGACTCGATCGCGTCGCCGCGCTCGCGCGCGACGTCACGAGCGCGACCGCGGACGTGGCGAGGAACATCGTCTTCGGGAGCGGGCCCGAGGGCGAGGACGACGACGGGGTCGAGCGGGCGTTGGAGCGATTGACGTGTGGCGTCTTGTCGAGCGATCGCGCGCTCGCGGGACGGACGCTGTGCGAGATCGTGGAGGAGCGCGACTCGGCGAAAGCGCGGGTGGCGCGCGCGTGGGGCGAGCGGCTGTTGGAGACGCTGCGGGAGACCACGGATGATGATGACGTGATTCGAGCGGCGCTGGAGGCGACGCGGGCGTGCGCGAGCGGACGGATGGGCGAGGGACGGGACGCGTGTCGAGCGATGATCGCGCGCGACTTCGCGTGGGTGCGGCAGTTGGTGAGCGAGCTCCGGGGGAGGGATTTTTATAGTCGACTCGCCGCGGCGCAAACCTTACGCGAGGCGAGCGAGAGCGAAGGCGAGGCGCTGCGCGCGAGCGCGGCGAGAGATCCGACGGCGGTGCCGACGTTGATGGACGCGATGAAGGAGAATGAGGTGATTCGGAACGAAGCTTTGTTGCTCTTGGTGGAGCTGACGAAGGATCACGAGGAGTTGCAGAAGATTGTCGCGTTCGAGGGCGCGTTCGAGCGAGCGTTCGCGGTGATGCGAGAGGAGGGCGGCGTCGAGGGCGGTGTCGTCGTTCAGGATTGCCTCGAACTGTGCAACAATCTGTTGAGAGATAATCCGAGCAATCAGACGCTGTTTCGTGAGAACGGATTCGTGCGGAGCGTCCCGGGTCTAGCTGCGGTGGAGCGCGAAATCGGAAACAGTGGAATGCGAGGCATTTCGGCGCAAAAAGCCGCCAACGCGCTGTGCGCGCTGGAGACCGTGCACCTGCTGGTGAGCCCGAACCAGGAGGATGGAAAGCGGAGAAATGCGCGTCATGACGCGGAGCTCGAAGCCTTGCTGCGTCAGCAGCGCCTGGCGGGGTGCCGAGCAAATCAGAGTGAGTTGGCGAAAACGGGGACGGTTGAAATTCTCGTGCGCGCTTCGTTGGGGGATTCGGCGGTGAACGCGGTGAGTGTTCGCGTCGCAGCTCTCCGCGCGTTGGCGGCGCTTGTTCGAAACCACGAGGAAAATCAAACCGAGCTCTTCAGCGCCACCGCGGATCGTGCAGGAACAGTCACTGAACCAGCTTTGTTGGCGTGCGGGCGCACAGCGCTGCACAGCCTCTCACCCGCCGAGCGCGCTGCCGCCTCGTCGGTGCTAGGTGCGTCGATGCGTGGGAATCCGGACGGTCAGCTACTGCTCGTCTCGACGTTGGCACCCACAGGATTCGGCGCGACGGATGGAAGCGAGGATGCGTCTCTCGGTGGATTACTCGCGAGAGCGCTCGCTACAAACGTCGGCATGGTGTACGACCAAGCGAGCGTTGAAGCCGCGCGTATCCTTCGTGACATGCTGCACAGAAACGACGACGCAAAGCTAAAAGCGCTTCGGGTGAATCTTGAGCCAGTGACTTCGCGAGCAAATGCCTCTGAGCTCTTGCTACCTCGATGCGTGCGTCAACTCGCCGTCACGCACACGACCGAGGACGAAAAGCCCCAAGTGGAACGTCTGCAAACGGTAATTTTGAGACTTTTAATTGTTTGGCTCTACGAGTGCAAACCGGCCGTTGACGCTTTCTTGTCCTCTCCCGGACATCTGCCCGCCATAGCCGATTTAGCTCGCACGGGTGGAAGCACGGAATCGCCGCACGTCGCGGCTCTCGCTTGCGTCGTGCTGGGATGTTGCTTGCTCGAGAAGGCTGGAAGCGTGCTCGACGTTGTTTCCGCGCGCGTCGGGCTGCAAAGCTTCTTCATGAAGTGGGAAGCAATGACGACATCGGAGCAATATGTGCAGGCGGCCGAAACTCCCAAGTTGCCCAGGGCATTGACGAGAGCGAACGTGGCGAAGCTAGCGATCCAGAGCGACGGCGAAGACGAAGTTCCGCCCGGTGAGGGACTGTACGATAATGAGATCACAGTGTTTATCAACGAGCTCGAGGAGCGCGTGAAGACGTCGATCATGTCCATGTACGCCAAGCCGTCGGCTGGAGAGGAGCGATCGGCGTCTAGCGTTATCAGGCGCGACGGCGAAGATGACGCGTCCTATTTGACGCGTCTCCAAGAGGCTCTACGCGCGAGCGAAAAGGAGCTCGAGGATGTGCGTTCTCGAAACACCGTGCTGGCCGAACAGCTTCTTGGGACCTCCAATCCCGCGGCGGCGCCGAGCGGAGATGAAGCCGTGTCGGGATCGATGGAAAACGGCTCGCGCCCGGCGTCCAACGAAGCTCTCCAGGCTGCCGTTGAGGCGGCTAAGCGCGCGAACGCGCACGAAATCGAAAATCTCAAGCGTGATCTCGAGGATTTCAAGCGTCTCGCGGACGAGCGCCAGGAGTCGCTCACGTCTCTGAGCTCAGCATACAACGGATTAGAGGCGGAGGTGTATAGACTCGAATCTGAGGCCACGGGTCTGCGAGCTAAACTCCACGACATCGCCGATTCGGACGATGTTTCCGCCCCGGACACGGCGACGCTAGATGTTGCGCGCGAAGCCGGGCGCCAGGAGGGTCGAAGACTCGCCGAGGTTGAATTCGAGACGCGAATGCGCGACGCGGTGGAAGCCGCCGTCGCCGAAGCCGCCGCCGCGCACGAAGCTGAGCTCAACGATCTCCTCGCCTGTCTCGGCCAAGAGGAGGCGTCCAAAGAACACTTATTCGCCCGCCTTCTCGAACTCGGCGTGGACGAGACCGCACTCGAGGAAGATCTCGCGAAGATCGTCATCGGGGATGAATAGCCCGCGGCGCGACCGTAGCGTCTTTGAAACTCACCGACAGCGAGAGGCGCATCCCTCACCCCGCGTCGCGTCGCGCGTCGCGCGTCGCGCATCGACCATCGAAAGCAACTCTAACGCACGCGCGCGCTTCAATGGGCGCCGCCGTCGCCAAGCTCCGCGCGCGCGCGCACCGTCCGATCGACGATGAGCGATGCGCCGAGCTCAAACCGGTCTGGGGCCCGTTCGTCGACACCTTCGTCGCCACGCTGCACGCCCAAGGCGCGGCGGTGCGCGCGCCGGGAGCGGAAAACAACCCCGCGAACGATCGTGCGCCGTCGACGTCGTACCGGAAGCCCGCGGTGGAACGATTGGTTGCGATTGGCGACGTCCACGGCGACCTGTCAAAGGTTCGAGAGGCGTTCCGAGCGGCGGGGATGACGAATGAAAAAGATGAGTGGGTCGGTGGAAGCGCGACGTGCGTGCAGGTTGGGGATCAGTTGGATCGAGGTAAGGACGAGGTGGCGATCTTGCACTTCTTGGAGCGCCTGAGAGGCGAGGCGAGAGACGCCGGGGGTGAGCTCGTGGTGATGAACGGGAACCACGAGACGCTCAACGTGAGTGGACGTTTCAGGTACTCGCTCCCGGAGGGCCGAGCTGATTTTGCGCGATGGCGGGCGAGACAAGACATCGGGCGCGCGCTCAGAGCGAACTGCGGACTCGCGGCGGGCGCATGCGAGGCGCGCGCGGGCGAAGCGGCGAAATCGGGCGCGCTCCCGAGCTTCGTCAAGGAGGGCGAGGGCGATCGCTGGCGCGCCCTCGCCCCGGGTTCACCGATGACGATGCGGTTCTTAGCGCATCAACCCGTCGTCGTGGCGATCGGAAGCACGCTTTTCGTGCACGGAGGGGTGTTACCTGAGCACGTGAAATACGGATTGGACACGCTCAACGCAGAAATCTCAGCGTGGATGCAGCGCGGGAAGATTAAGGCCGCGCCGCCACTCAGCGTGCAGGGACGCGACTCTTTGGTTTGGGCGCGAGATTACTCGCACGTGCAAGAGCACAAATGCGATTGCGATTTGCTCAAGGAGACGCTCGCGATGATTCCAGGTATCGAACGCGTCGTCGTCGGGCACACCATTCAGCATCCTTATGGAATCACCAAGGCGTGCGACGGGCAGGTGATTAGAATCGATGTTGGCATGTCCAAGGGGTGTTTCGACGCCAAACCGGAAGCCTTGGAGATTCTGAACGACGGTGAGCGAATCTCCAAAATGAAGCTAAATACTGAAGGCAAGGTGGAGACAGCGCCGCTCGGATGAAACGAGTGACCGCTCGGCTCGTAGATTGCCTTGATTCAATTGGTAGCACAAATTGTATCGCATCGATCGGTATCACTACGTATCGCGCTCGCTCTAATCATGCGTTTGTGCGATTTCGCCAAGAACTTTACTTCAATATTTCAGACTCGCTCACGGCGACTACATGTTGGAACAACTGAACGACTACTAGAAACGCATCTTCATTTAAGAGTTGGTGCACACAGTCCCGCACGATGCTGTTTCCGGGTAGCCGAGAGGGTTGCTCGCGACAGGTGTGCCCGTCGGAACACACGTCAAGTCGTTGCTGTTGCTGTTGCACATGATCGCCTTCACCCACGGCATGAGCTTCGGCGACGTCGTCGGCACGATCTTTTCTGCGTCGTTGTTGTAGTAGGCAAAGTTGCCCAAGTATTTCGGCGGCAAGTGTCGGTACGAGTAGTGTCGCATCTCCGTCGCGATCGAGAGCAAAGACGCGAAGAACCCGCCGCAAAACGCCCACAACAGGACCGTGTACGTCAGCAACTTCCCGAGGTTCTCCCAGTTGTACTCATACCCAGGGGTCGGGGGCTCCTTCGGTTCCTGCGCGTTGTCAACGTCTCGCTCGTCAGTCTCTCGTCCGCGATCGCGTCGTGGGCTCACCGAATTTCCAGACCCTTTGTTCGTCCCCGCGCGCCCTCGAGCGAGATCCACCGCTCACGTCTCGCGCGACGCCGCGCGACGCGATCGACGCCGCGCGATCGACGCAATGATTTCTCCCGCGTTTGGTCGTCGCGCTCGACCGCGAGTCGACGCCCTCGGCGTTCGCGCGAACGCGACGCGATCGATTTGACCTCGAGCGCGCCTCCCCCGTCGTCCCCGCCCGCGTCATCGCTCGACGATGCTCGCTTCACGGTCGACGCGCGTCGCGCGCGCGACGGTGCTTTTCACCGCGTTGTCTCGACGCACCTTGTCGCCCTTCGCCATGTCGCTCGAGAAGTGTCGCGCCGTGCGCCGGCCGCCGCGGGCTCGGACGGAGGCGACGGAGGCGACTCTTCGACGTGGTGTGAGCCCAATCGTGTGGGCGAACAGTATGATTATTCCGGAATATAGGGACGGTGTCGACCAACGCTGGCGATTGTGTTACACGCGTTTTGCTGGGATTCCTTCGTTAGAAGAGCGTCTTGCTGAGGATGGAGGTGGCGTCGCGAAGGAGCGTTTCGTCGCACGCGGCGATGACTTCTCCCTGGAACTGGCCGCTCTCGAGCGCGGCGCGGTCGGCGGTGAACACGAGCTCTTGACCCTTCCAGTCAGTCATCGAACCGCCGGCGCCCTTGACTATGGGGACGAGCGCCATGTAATCGTACGGCTTGAGGTCCGCCTCGACGACGAGGTCCGCGAAACCCATCGCGAGCAAGCCGTAGGCGTAGCAATCACACCCGAACATCGGGATCTTCACCTTGCTCGCGAGTGTGTCGTACTTGGCGGCGTTCATGCCCTCGAACATGAGCGGTGTGGTGCTGTACATGTACGCGTCGGCGAGCGACTCATTCTTCTTCACCGATATCTGCTTCCCGTTCATCGTCGTCCTCTTTCCTCGAACGCCGATCCATCGCTCTTTGAGGACGGGTTGATCCAAAATCCCCAAAACTGGCTCTCCGTTGTGCAAGAGCGCGATCAACGTCCCCCAGAGCGGCTTCCCCGTGATAAAGCTCTTCGTCCCGTCAATCGGGTCGAACACCCACATCCACTCGCTCGACCCGTTCGAGCCGAGCTCGATCCCGTGCTCCTCACCGAAGATCGCGTGCGTCGGGCATTCTTTCGTCACCAACATCCGCATCGCGCTCTCCGCCTCGCGATCGGCAATCGTCACCGGCGACGCGTCGCTCTTATCGTCCACCACCAGGTCTCGCCGTCGGAACATTGATGTCGTCACCGCCCCCGCCGCGTCCGCCAAACGACACGCGAGATCCACGTACATCTCCGGCACCGCATCTTCCCCATCACTCGCCTCGGCGCGCGCGCGAATCGACGGTCTCGCCGCCGTCGCGCGTCGCCCGCGCGCGCGGTGTCGAGACCTCCCGTGCGTTCTGGCCGACGCGCTCGTCGCGCTCGCGATTCGCGTTCGCACGGCGTCCATCGCGCGTCGACGCGTGATCTCGTCTGTCCCTTCGCGCGCGCCGTCGACCGCGCGAGGCGCGAGATGCGTCGCGGACTCGCGCGAGAGCGCTGGAGAACGCGTCGAGAGGATCGACGCGACTTTGATAATCGACACAGATCTCCACGCCGTGTCGGTTCGAACGCGCGCGCACGATGGCGGACACGAACAGAATAATGAAAGAACTCCGAGAGATCGCCTCGGACGCCGCGAGCGGGGTCACGGTGTCGCAACACGGCGATAGTTTGACGCACATGAAGGGCACCATCTGCGGTGAGCTTGGATGATCGATGAAAGAGCGACGTCAAGACTGACCGCGCGCGCGTTTTGTTCGACGCAGGACCGTCTGATACGGTGTACGAGGGTGGTGTGTTCCATATTGACATTCAGATCGGGCAGTCGTACCCGTTCGAGCCGCCAAAGATGAAGTTTCTTACCAAGGTGTGGCACCCGAACGTGTCGAGCGCGAGCGGGGCGATTTGTTTGGACGTCCTGAAGGATCAGTGGTCGCCTGCGTTGACGCTGAAGACAGCGCTGCTGTCGTGTCAGGCGCTGTTGGCGGCGCCAGAGCCGGACGATCCGCAAGACGCGGTCGTGGCGAAGATGTACACGTCGGAGCGGGCAAAGTTTGACGAGACGGCGAAAGAGTGGACGAAGAAGTTCGCGACAAAAGAGCAGAAGGATCCGATCGTGGGCGAACTCATGGAAATGGGATTCGATGAGAGCATGGTGCTCAAGGCGTTGACCAAGTGCGGTGGCGATAAAAATCGCGCGCTCGAGGAACTCCTCGGAGGAGCTTGAACGACGATACGAGAAAGTTGACGCGACGATGAAACGCACACCACACATATAGTTAGCAGCACAGCGCGCCGTGAGGCGCAGAGATAGCATAAGTAATCATGAATCAAATGAGACGAATACAGACCGTCTTTTTTATCGCGTTTGTGGCATTCATGTCCGTCGGTGTCGCCGTAGATGGCGCAACCGCTCAGCTAGGCGCAGTTCGACTTGACGAAGTTGTTGCGTGCGACGGTAGCACCCTCACCGTCCTCGTTCGCGGTAGGCCGACGTGCCTGATGCAGTCGATAGATGCGTCATCGTTACCTGTCAGGATCGAAGATATATCCGTCGCGAACCTCGTCGTGACTCTTGATGGCAACGTCCAGCCACTAAGAGGCGAACCAACGGTTGATGCCGAAGGAAGCGCGTTGGTGTTTTCCATCATCCCAACAGCGACATCGAGTGGCACGATTACCGTCACGATAACGCTTGAACCGAAAGACCGCGTTTTTGCAGGATACTATGATGTCCCAGCGTGGTACGAGGTCTCGATCGAGTGGCCAACGTTTTTTGGCGCAAGTCAGATGCGCGATGAAGAACACGAGGAGGTTGACGCGACAGTCGAATTCACACCGTTCCCATGCACCTGGTTCCTCGGCGAAGAGTTGTGTAACTCAACGTCTTTCTGGCTCTCCGCTTAAAGAAACTATGTTCGCTGATATCTCACACCTCTAAAGATTCTATATTCTACTCGTCCGGCGACTTTTTGACGTGTCGCGCGGCGCGCTTGGGTTTCGCCCTTGCGCTTGACCCTGACGAACTCTCACTCGCGGCCTGTGCTTTGCGCAACGGCAATGGAACCACCGCATCGGCACCCGTAACCTTCTTGATGAGGTCTCGCGACTTGACGATCCGATCTCGAGTCGTTCCTTCGCGCTTGCGCGTGGGTGGCGGGAGATCGACGGTGACGCGTGCGCTCCAGTCTGCTTTGCCTTTCTCAAGCATACCGGTACCATTTCTCGCTCGCGCGGATACACCACCGTGGAGGGTCACCGGTCGCTCGGGCTTCTTTGTTCCGGTGAGCGTCGCAGAGATACTGTCGAGAAGGAATGACCGCCTCGCCGCCTGCGGACTCTGACCGAACCGCCTCCTCTCGCGGGCGTGACACAGCATAAGTTTGCGCTTCGCACGCGTTATACCGACGTAAAATAGACGCACTTCTTCATCCTGGTCATCATCACTATCACCGTTTCGGATGAATGGTATCAATCCGTCTTCAACGCCGGCGATGAAAACTGTGTCAAACTCCAATCCTTTGCTGGCGTGCATTGTCATGAGCTTTGCTTTATCGCCGCCCGTTACGTCGTCGGTCTCTGCACTCGTCAGGAGCGAAACTCCTTCCAAGAATGCGCCCAGAGCTTCAAGCCCGACGCGGTCTTGGATCGTTTCATCCACATCTCGCGGGGGTTCCTTTGCTAGATTGATTAACTCCTGCACGAAAGCCCAGCGATCGACGCCATCGTCCGCGTCGAGTACCATCGTCTCGTACCCAGTGCGCTTGATGACATCCTCTAGGAGTTCCCCCGGGGTCGCATTCATTGCGGTCTGTTGGCACGCACGCATGAGCTCGACGAAGTTTAGCACTGCCGTTCGTGCGCGCGCGGTCAATCCCATCTCGTCTGCACTCGGTAACAGCTCGCTTTGTTCACCCGGATTCGTCTTCCATGCGCCTCGCAAGAGCGCATCACCAATGGACGGTGAAAGCCCATCCTTCTTCGGTAGCGTTTTGAGCCAAGCATTGAGTTTTTCGATGGTCGAGTTCCCTATACCTCGCGTTGGCGTGTTGATGATGCGATTCAAGCTCACCGTGTCCGACGAATTCGACACAATGCGTAAGTACGCAATCATATCCTTGATCTCTTTTCTACTATAGAAAGAAGTGTCGCCGACAACTGTGTGCGGCACGCCGGCTCGAATGAATGCTTCCTCGAGCACGCGAGCTTGAGAGTTCGTTCTATACAGTACAGCCACATCCGAGTAGCGCAAATCAGAATCTTGAACGAGCTTACGCGCCTCCAAGGCGATGAACTCTGCCTCTTCTCGATCATCGTTCGCTTCGACGATCGCAACGTCTCGTCCTCCGGGAGTGTGCGCGACGAGATCGAGTGGAGAAGGAAATGAGCTCTCCTTGATAACTGCTTGCGCCGCCTCAACGATGGTCGACGTGCTCCGATAGTTTGTCGTCAACATGTGTGTCTGAACCTCCTTAAAGTCCTGGTCGAACTGCGTTCGAATGTTCGCCACCTCGGCTCCGCGCCAACCATAAATAGCCTGATCGGCGTCACCTACGACAAAAACGGACCCTTGAGGCTGCGATAGCTTTCGAATCAACTCGTATTGCGTCGTCGACGTATCCTGAAATTCGTCCACAAGAACCTGACTCCAACGACGCTCGTAATACGCGCGGACGTCCGGACACATCTCCAACATCGCGACGGTCGCCGAAAGTAAGTCGTCGAAATCAAACGCGTTCGCCTGTCGCAGGCCATCCTCGTACTCGTCGTACAGTTCCACAAAGCGTTGTTGCGACATTGGCGGTATCGGCTTTTTGGCGTCTTCCAGCGCTCTGAGCATTTGTGAACCTCGCAGACCGACGGAGTGCTTCACGCACGACTTTGCCGTACTAATCCAGTTCCGCATCGGTCCCGGCTGAGCGGTTTTCTTCGACTCGCCAAACTTGTTCACTAGCACGCTCTGCACGATTTGCTTGCTGTCGTCCGCGTCGTAAATCGTAAACTCTCCCGTGCGTCCGATGCCCGGAATTCGCTCCCCGTGCCGTCGCAGCATTCTCGCCGCGACGGAGTGAAACGTCCCCGCCGTGATCTCCTTCGCCGCCACCTCTCCAATCTTGTCCCTCAACCGCTCCCGCAGCTCCTTCGCCGCTTTATTCGTAAACGTAATGCACAAAATCTCCCTCGGCGGCGTCTTCTCCTCGTGAATCAGGTGCGCGACGCGTCCAATCAACACGTGCGTCTTTCCCGACCCCGGTCCCGCGAGCACGCGCGTCGCGCCCACCGGCGCCAGCACCGCCGCGCGCTGCGCGTCGTTCAACCCACGCACGTGCACCGGTTCCAACGCCTCCGCGGAGACCCCTCGCCCTCCCCACGCGTCGTCGCGCGCCGTCGCGCCCGTTCGCCATCGCCGCACCACCGACCCGCTCGCGCGCGCGTCGCCGCGTTCGAACGCCGCGCGTCGTCGAGTCCCGTCCAGCGCGCGCGCCAGTCGCGCGCGGTGCGCCATGGACGCCGACGCCGTCTCCGCGCGCATCTATCGACCGCGCGTCGCGCGATGGCGCGAACGATCGCGATCGAACGCCACAACGAACGCCACACGCCGACGCTATGGCAGCCGCGCACTCGTCGCGATCGACCGCGACGCGCGCGGCGCTGGCGCTCGTCGCGATCGTCGCGCTCGTCGCGGGGGCGAACGCGCTGGAGAATCCGTTCGCGAGACGCGCGAGCGGTGGAACGATCAATCGCGACCAAGAGGTGATCGCGGAGGCCCTGACGGACGAACACGTGGTGAAACTCGACGCGAAGGCTTTCGATGGTGAGATAAAGAAGAGTCGATATAATTTTGTGATGTTTTACGCGCCGTGGGACGGGCACTCGAAGGCGTTCATGCCGAGATGGCTGTCGTACGCGCGGACGCATCAAATGGCGGGCACGGAGGTGACGTTCGGGTTGGTGGACGCGACGCGCGAGAAGGAACTGGATGCGCGATTCGAGATTGAGGAGTATCCGACGCTGGTGTTGTTCCGAGACGGGGTGCCGAAGACGTACATCGGTGATCGATCGCCGGAACACTTGGATAAGTTTGTGCGGAGGAATCTGCTCAAGCCGGCGAGATTTTTGGAAGGCACGGATGACGTGGAGGTTTTTCTCATCGGTCGAGCGGTGAGCGTGATTGGATTTTTTGATGATCCCTCGCACTTGGAGACGTATCACCACGCCGCGGCTGAGTTTGATCTCGATTTCGGGGAGACGAAGAGCAAAATCGCGACGGAGGACTGGAAGGCGCCGTTCCCCACGATCAAGATGTGGCGAGACTTCGCTAAAGAGCCGGCGACGTACGACGGTGACGTGAAGGATCTGGACGCGATTAAGCTTTGGATCGCCACTGAGATGGTGCCACCGGTCGTCAAGTTTTCGGACAAGAAGTTGCTCGATCGCTTGTTCCAAGGACCCATTGCAGTGAACATCTTCGTCTTCTTGCCGGAAGAACGTGAGACGGCGGAGAAGATGTCCATCGCTCTAGAAAACGCCGCCGAACGACTTCGTGGCAAGGTTCACATCATTACCGTCGATGCGAAAGAAAAAATCATGCACGACTACTTCACTCTCCACCAACACTCTGGGCCGCAGATTCGTCTCTTATCGCACGATCTCAAGTACGCCTACCGAGGCTCCTTCGAGATCGATAAGATCTCGAAGGACATCGAGGAATTCTATAACGAGTTCAAAGCGGGAAAGCTCGTGCCGATGTTCAAGTCGCAAGATCCACTCCCAAAGGACGGTGACGTCGTGCAGATTGTCGGAAAGACGTTCGAGAAGTTGGTCATCGACAACGACAAGCACGTCCTGGTGTGGTTCTACGCGCCGTGGTGCCGTACGTGCAAGGCGATGAAACCAGTCTGGGAAAAACTTGGCACGCTCTACAAGAATGAGAAAGAAATTATCATAGCCAAGATGGACGCGACGAAAAATGAGGCGAAGAACGTTCACGTGCGACACTACCCGACGGTGTACTATTATCACGCGGGCGACAAGCCCAGACACGAGGAATATGACGGCGCGATGGAGCCCGACGCGATTATCGACTTTCTCAAAGAGCGCACCGGGAAGTCGCCGCATAAAACTCGCAGGCGCACACCCCACATGGAACTGTGAATTGACGCACATTGTAAACAAACTGAACTTTGTAGCAAGCAAGTCCTACTGATGCGTTCCAATCGACTATTGACTCGAGAACGCGAGGTAATATTGCGCGACGCCCGTCGCCGCACCCAACACCCCCCCCACTACTATGAGTTTGATTTCATCCTGCTCGAACACCGGGTGCAAAACCCGCTCGAAATCGGCTCCCGGCAACTTCTGCATTCTCTCGCGCACCGTCGTCTCGATGTCGAGAGCAAAATTTTGGTAATCGTATGTTACGGGCACGCAGTCAGGGATGGATTCGAACACCGAGTCGATGACCGTTCGCTTAATACTTTCGTATTTTTGTTGCCCGAGCATCATTTTCACCATGGGCGTTCCAGCACCGAACGCGGTGTCGAAAAAGTTGGCGGCGTTTCTCCGCACGAGCGCCTCAAATTTATCCTTGAACGCGCCCGTCATCATCTCGTCCCACAAGTTCTCAGCGTTGCAGAAGTGTAACTGGTTCAAACGTGCGAATTCCTCGCTGACTTCGTTCTGGCGACGCATGAAAACGCCGTGGATCTTCAAGCCGCAAACCATCTTTGGTTCGACGGGAGTGAAGATGATCTTCAACGCGACGTAGTTTGTGAGGTATCCGACGAGGAAACCAAAAACCGGAAGCAGCCAAATTCCGTGCTGCGGCGCGCTCTTATCCACGAAATAAAACGTCACCATCTGCGCGAGACCGAACAAAAACCCAAAATAAATACCGCTGCGCTCAATGAATAGAAACTCCTTCGCCCCGACCTCTCGAAACATGTTCACAACCTTGTCCTTATTCCCCAACGCCAGCCGCACCACCATCGACTTCAGATCTAACACCTCGTACACGTTCTCCATCAAATCTTGCACGATGTTCTCCAGCAACCCGCTCGATCGATCGACCGCCTCCGTGATGAGCTCGTCTCGCACCACCGTCGGCAGCCCGTTCCAAAACAACGGCGCCTCCGTCGCGAGCACCTTTTCGAATAATCCCTCCGTCACCGCCCGCATCTCCGGGTCCATGATCGACGCCACTTTCTTTTCATCTAATCTCGAGAATATTTCCTTGATATCGATCAATTTCTTCGTCATCAGATCCACCAAGATCTCCGCCATTTCGCCCGCCTTGCTCGGAATGATGCCTTGCCATCCCCCGAGCAACCCGAACGGCTGTCCCTTCGGCTGCGCGAACGCCAAAAACGCCGGGAAAAACTCGAGCGGGTAAAACGTCATGCGCAGCGCCACCACATTGGTTCCCCATCCCACGAAGGCGGCGATGAAGGGAATGATCGCGTACGTCCACAGCGCGGTCGAGGTCGACGCGCCGAGTAAAACCCGTCGCCCACCGCCGTCGCGCGATCGTTCCGCGTCCAGCGACGCCGCGAGCGCGAGCGCGAGCGCGAGCGCCGTCGCTATCGCCGCGCCCGCGCGCGCGAGCCGCCGTCGACGCGACGTCGCGAGCGAATCCATCGCGCGCGGCGCACTGCGGAGTCGTCGCGAGTGCGCGCCGCGTCGAGCGCGCGTCGGGCCATGCGCGCGCGCGCGCGGGCGACGGGAGTGCCGTCGAGGCCGGGCGCGCGCGCGCGGACGCGACGCGACGGACGCGCGCGCGCGACGGGCGGTCAACGACCACGACGCGATGGGTCGAGCGCGGTCGACGCGGACGAGGAGTTCGACGACGATGGCTCGCGCGCGCGAGCGATCGATCGACGGCGGGCGATGGGGGCCATCGCGTCGTGCGCGATGACGACGACGCGGGCGGCGCGCGCGGTGCCCGCGCCCGAGATGGCGTCGGCGCGCGGACTGAGCGCGCTGGAGGAACGATTCGTCGACGTCTTCAGAGAGGCGAGCGCGAGCGCGGTGAACGTGGTGGATCTGACGATTCTAAACGCCAGTGGAACGCAGAGTGCGTTCGCGGGATCGATCGTGGCGGAAGGGAACGGTACGGGGGTGGTTTGGGACGATGAAGGGCACGTCGTGAGTAACTATCACGTGATTAGTTCCGTGTTGGCGACGATACCGAAGGGAAGGAAGACGAGCTCGGTGGCGCAGGTGACGATTCAGGCGAAGGATGGGAGCAACCGAACGTTTCCGGCGGCGCTCGTTGGGGCGTCAAAGGAGAAGGATTTGGTCGTGCTCAAGGTGGACGCGCCGAGGGACCTGTTGCGTCCCGTGAAGAGGGCGTCGGAGGAAGTGCGCGTCGGGAGCGCGGTGCTGGCGATAGGGAACCCGTTCGGGTTCGATCACACCTTAACCACGGGCGTGGTCAGTGGGTTGAATAGAACGATACAATCCCAAGTCGGTTCGCTCATCACGGGCGCGATCCAAACGGACGCCGCTATTAATCCGGGGAACTCTGGCGGGCCTCTGCTCAACTCCAGCGGGCAGCTCATCGGCATTAACACCGCTATTTTCACTCCAAACGGTTCGTCCGCGGGCGTCGGTTTCGCGATCCCGATCGACATCGTCAACAATGTTGTTCCACAGCTCATCAAGAACGGTGAGGCCGTTTTCCCGAGCTTAGAAATCAAGTTTGGCGACATCTCGATGCTGCGGGATCTGCAGCTCCCAGTCGGCTCGGGCGCGTTGGTGCAAGGCTTCACGAACAACGACTCCCCGGCCGCAAAGGCTGGGATCCTGGCCACTCGACGCGCACTCGCCGGTCTCGTTCCGGGCGATTGCATCATCGAGGTCGACGGCCAACCGTGCGCCGTCGCCGCCGACGTCATCCGCGCCGTCGAGCGCCGCGCCGTCGGCGACGTCGTCGACGTCGTCGTCCTCCGACGCGAGCGCGCGGGCGACGAGCGCCCGAAGCGCCAAACGTTCAACGTCACACTCGTTCACGCGCGCGAGTGAATCACACCGTAACCTAGTATCGTTATCTTCATCGATCCGCGCGTCCGCGTCGAGCGCTCGCGTCGATTCCCGCCAACCGCACACGCTGGCGCGCATGATCAACCGCGCGCGCGACGGCGACCACCCCTTGTGCTCGTTCGCCGCGTGCGTGCCACCGAAGGAACTCACACCGTCGGACGTGCGGTGCGTGAGGACGACGATGACGCGCGCGAACGAACGAACGAAAGATCGAACGACGCGAATGCCTGGGAAACGGTCGCGACGGAATGAATGGACGCGAGCGACGACGCGCGCGGGACGTCGACGCGCGCGCGCATCGAGCGATGGCGCGAAGCGAGCGTTCTCTCCGACTGACGACGACGACGACGACGACGACGACGACGCAGAACGCGGGTGAAGGAATGCTTTGAGAAGCTTCCGTCGGAGTATTACCGCGTCGAGTCGAGGACGTGCGGCGGGTTGGCGCGATGTTTGACGCACGAGGTGAAGTTTGTGAACGGAGAGACGTATGAACTCGCGCTCGTGAGCGCGACGCTCGAGGCGGAGGCGGTGGGGCGGAAGTTTGAGGAGATTCGAGAGCAGAATGTGGATCTGAAGGAGCGGTCGTTGGCGCTCAAGGCGTGGCTCAAGGATTTGAGCGAAGAACACAAGTTTTCATTCGTCGTCATAGACGACACGACGAAACGCGTGTTCGCGGCTGCGACGCAGTTCAGCGCGCCGTTATCGTTCGGTCACTCGAAGGATGGGATGTTATTGATTTTTTGCGGCGCGGGTGGTCGTTCTGTCGCGACGCACTGGCCGCTGAACGAGTCAGAGGTGACGCAGTGCGCGCGGCAGGGAGCCGCCGCGCGACGACGAAGCATCGAACTTAGTGGACGTACGAACCAGCGACGAAGTGTGGACGGTGGTTCTCGTCGAAGCGTCGATGGGGGGCGTCGAAGCGTCGATGGGGGCCGTCGAAGCATCGATGGGGGTCGTCGAAGCGTCGACGCAAAGGCTGTGTTCACCTCGGAGGTTGGCTGGGTTGATCCGGGCGCGACGGTTCCCCTGGAATTCAATCCGACAAGAATCACGCTCACGCACCTTCCCGTCGGTCGCTTCGTCTACGGCCACGCGTACCTGCAACCGTATGAGTTCACCTCGTTCTGGAGCAGCGCTCAGAGCAATCGCGCCGGTATGCCCGAGCGAGCCTTTCATAGCGGCAACGACTGGGCGAAGGAGTCGGACGGCTCCCGACGCGAGAGCTTCGACGCCGGCGGCCCAGGAAGTCGTCGCTCGAGCATGGACGAGCGTCGCGCCAAATGGGAACACACGAATGCAAAGTGTGACACCGAGACCACTTGGAAGCGCGCCGCACCCACGGAAAAATCGCCCGCCCCGCTCCCGCCCCGCTCGCCCACCAAGGAACGAGCGATCGAGGCCTCGCTCGAGACGCTCTCCGTCGACGCGTCGGGCAAGAAGACCACGAAGAAGACATCCCTCGGGACGAGGATTCGTCGCAATCTCTCCCTAGAGCGTCTGAAAGACGCGCTCGGGATGAAGAAGACGTAAAATTCAGCCGCTGTAATACGCACCGCCCGCCGCTCGCCAACACCGTCGCCGCGCGCTCGGGCGAGCCATCAACCCATATAATCTCTTCAAATCGATCGCCCCGCACTTCAACGCGTCCGACGCGCGCTCGACGCGCCTCGAACCCATCGACGGTGCCCTGGGAGCGTCACGCGTCCATCGCGCGCGCCGTCGAGCGTCATGACGGCTGAGGACGCGACGGGCGCGACGCAGGTGTTGAACGAACGCAACACGACGACGACGACGACGACGACGATTTCGACGAAAATCACGACGACGGGCGAGGTGTCGACGACGAAAACGACGGGAGAAGCGGCAGCGGGGTCGCCGTCGTCGGCGACGGCGTTCACGAGCTATTTCACGAACATTTTCGGTGGGAAGACGGAGGCGGTTGGCGCGGCGCCGGTTGAATCGGAGGCGAGCGCGGACGTCGTCGAGGAGGAGCCGAGCGATGGGATCCACGCGAAGAAGGGTACGGCGGTGCGGGCGCTTCAGGACAAGTATGATGAGGCGGAGGCGGCGATGAGCGCGGCGCAGACGGCGTTCGAGCGCGCGGCGACGGAGTATCAGACGGCGCGAGACCGCGCGGAGGTAGCGAAAAAGAGTGGCGTTCCGGGCGCGGCGACCGTGGCGGACGCCGCGGTCGCGCAGGCAAAGTCCAAGTACGCGGCAGCGTCCAGTAACTTTCAGATGACGAATAAGGCGCTGGAGTACGCGGCGAAGAAGAAGCGTCAGGGTGAGGTGGAACTCGCGGAGAGTATCAAGGCAAGAGAGGCGCGCGATACCTTGTTCGGATCGAAGGGTAAAATTGGCGGCCATTCGGACGCTGATGATCTCGAGGCGAAGCGCCTGATGGCCGTGATCAAGCTGCAGCGCGCCTGGCGCAGATACACGACTCTCAAGAAGCAACGAAAACCCGAGTTCATCGCGAGGACGGTTGTTCAGCGAATCTTTTCGCGCGAAACTGCTTTTGCGTTACTTTTGAGTTTCCTTTTACTGAGTGGCTCAGTGCTTTCATCCGAGACAAGATCAAGCGGTCGCACTGCAGAGCTCATAAGGACGTTCTCGGCGTTGGATCACGGCTACTTGGGCGAGGGCATCTCCTCAGGGATCGTCACAGCACAGCTCACCGTGATGCGCTCACGTCACAACAAGTTGCTCAGCGACGTCGAAGAATGTGAAGCGACTCTACACGCTCTGCGCAAGGGTGAAGGTAGCCTTGGTGGATCCATGCGATCTCCTCTTGCGGGTACCTGTAGCTACAAGCTACGCGAAGCGGAAAAGGAACTCGCTCAGATGAAGAAGAGCGAAGTTGATTGTGGTCTCGACAAACAACTGAAGCTGCTTCAGTCTGAGCTCGCGCTAGCGAGGCACGAGGTTGACGTTCAGAAGATCAAAAATGAAGAAGAAATCGCGTCCTTGAACGCAGTTCACGAGGCTGAAAGCGAAAAGTTGATGGCGCTCGCTCAAGCCAACATCATGGACGCGAAGCACGAGGGCGCACGGCTTTTACGCAAAGCTCAAATTGAGCACGAAGAAATCTTGGACCAACTAGAGTCCATGCGAGATCAGCTCTCTGTATACGAAAACCAAATGAGAGGCGATCCTTTGGGCATAGATGAGCTCGTTAAAAAGCACAACGCCGTGTTGAAGAGTGTCAAAGACAAGAATGCCGCAGCTCTCAAAGCACTGGACGACGAATATCGTGCCAAACTCTCAATGAGCAAAGCTGAGAACGTCCGAAATAAAAACGAAGATCTAAAGAGTCTGTCGATTTTCAAGGAGAAATCTACCGCGACGCAAAGGAGCTTGGAGGATAAAGTCAGGCTCGCCAACGAACAGGCTACAGCAGCGAAAAACCAGGTGTGCAAGTCGAAGAGTTCGAGTACGCTCTCGTATCTCGTATATCCGCTCATCGCCGCCGTGGGATTGTTGCTTGGTGTTGTCGCGCAAGCTGGTCACCAACCAACTCATCATGGGGCGGCCAAGTCGGCTAAACCGAAGGAAGCTGAGGCAGTGAGAACAGAGCCCGCCATGGGCGTTCCTGTGTGCAAGCGATGTGAAGCGGCGGAGGAGAAGTCAAGCGATTATAAACAGCAAGCTAAGATTGCCGAAGAAGCAGCTGCAAAGCTTCGTAACGAAATCAGGACTCTCCAAGAAGACAACGCACGAGTGCACAAGCGTCTTGAGCAGCGCATTTCAATGCAGAAGTCACCGAAAAAAGCCATGGCCACAGAAGATGGCGACAAATCCGACAGCGATCTCACTGACACAGCGCGTTTGGAAGAGGAGAATATCAAACTTTCTTCCCGCGTGCACGAGGCTCAAGCGCGCGCTCTTGAGCTCACCGAGCAACGAGAGATGCTTACGCTCCGCATCGATTCAATTCAAAAGAAACTCATCGAGGAAGGAGTCACCATCAAGGAGCTATCGGAAAGCCTGGTTCGAGTAGAGAAGGAGAATTTCGAGCTTAAGCAAGTGGTCGATGAATGTCGAGCCGAGACAAGAGTTGCGGAGCGTAAACTTGAAGACGTCACGCGTTCGCTCGATTCGACGGGCAAAGAACGTGGGGGTATGCAAGTTGAACTCGACGCTGTTAACAAGCGGCTAAGAGACGCCACCGCACAGCTCACCAAGGCTGCGATGTCAGAGAAGCAGAAAGATGCGAAAATCGAAGCGATTTTACTCGCCAAGGAGGACATCGAAAAGAAACTCGCTGCGGCGACCGAAGATGTTGATATCCTCCAAGAACGGTACACAAACAGCGAGCGCTTGAAGGTTCAGCTTGAAGCGCAAAACGTCGATCTCCAAGCCCAGCTTAGACGATCAAAGTCTACGAGTGACATGGCAGCAGCGCAGCTTCAAAAGCGTCTTATGGAGGTAGAAACAGAACGTAATAGTCTGAGCTCCGAACAAGGGCGCTTACTCGACGAAATCGTGTCGAAGCAGGAAGAAATCGATCAGCTGATGCAGCACGTGATGAAGTTGCAAGAGAGTGACGATTCGCTTGGCAGTGAACTTGCAGACTTGGTGAAGATCAATGAAACCATGCGAGCTCGGATGGAGCAGCAAGAGGAGCTCATTGCCAAATCTCACGAGAAGGACCTCAAAATTATTGAACATGAGGTGCACTTGCAGGAATGGGGATCGCGTTTCGAACAAGCCAAGGCAAAGCTGAGAAGCTGTGAGCTCGCGCGCGAAGAGGGGCTGACAATGTTGCGCAATCGCGATGAACGAATCGGTTTTTTGGAGGAAGAGCTCAAAACCATCCGTGATTTGCACGGTGCGAGTAGTTCTCGACTTAAAGATCAACTCCAACGCCTCGGGGAGTTGGAGATGGATGCTGCGCGCAAACTCGCTGCTAAAGAAGCAGCGGAGGCTAAACTTGAACAGTCCGAGGCAGCGGCGAGGATGACCATTGCACAGCTTGAGACGGAGATTTCAAAGCTGCAAAATCAACTGGTCGCGGAGCAGACTACCGCTGAAGCCTTGCGAACAACCGACGGAATCACCGCGTCGAAGCTTCGTCAAGAATCGCGCGAGCTTCAGGAAAAAATTGCCGCGCTGAATTCTGCGGAGGTCGAAAAAGAGAACATGGCGCAGGAAATCTTGCGGCTCGAACGAGAGTTGGAAGAATTGAGACGCCGTCTCGCGGAGCTGATGTCAGAGCTAGCCAATGTGAAGACACAAGAGCATGGCGTGGTAATCGAGCAGACTGAACAGACTGAAGAACGTCAGGCGTTGGTCTACGATGAAGCCACTGATTTGTTGCGCGGATTGAGGCGAATCTCACTGTACAACCTTCTATACTCTGTCACCTTCAGTAAGGTGAGAGATCTGAGACAGTGGCGTGCGCTCACTTTGACCCCTCTGTGCGAAGCTGTGAGACCGATCACAACGCAGCCTAAGCGTGATGACCTCTTCTATGCGAAGAAGCGAGGAGCACGAGGACTCATCGCACTTGCGAACGCACCGCACCATCACAAACTGTCCCGCGCTGGCTGGTCAGAAGTCAATCAAGCAGCCATGACGCAAATGTTGGGATGGCACAATGCCGAGGACGTCTGGATTTGGGCCACGCGCTCGCTCGCTGCTATTTCACGCATCTTCCAAGGAGGGAACGCATACCAAATGTACCAGCTCGGAGGTTTGCAAACTGCACTGGAGTTGATGCGCCAGGCAGAATCCGACGCGGAAATTCAACTGCACGGTGCTCGCGCCATAAGTGGGATGGTGTCTGGAAATCTTGCCTTTTACGGTCAAGAGGCACCGCAGATTGTGTCGGGAAGCGCGCTCGAAACTCTCGCCATCACCTTGCAAACGTTCCCTCTTGACGCTCGCGTCGTCAGGGCAGCCGCTCGAGCGACGTGGGTGTGCGTGCACCTCGGTCGACAATTCGGCCAACATACCTTCGTGCAACACAAGGTGTACGAGCCGCTCATGTTCGCGATGAACTGTCATCTCGGCGATCTCAAGGTTGTCGAATCATGCTGCGGAGCGGTGCTTGCCGCCGCTGCGCGCAATCCAAACACGCAAGCCGCGCTCACCGAAGCGGGCGTTCGCGATCTCGTTCGCGACGTCCTGCAAACAGTCAGCGAAGTCAATTTTTCTGGCACGTTCTCGGAGCTCAGCGAGTGGCTTTTCGAAGAATAAATCAAAATGTGTATCAATCCAAAGCGAGCAACCTTCACGCGAATGCGCTCCACCTTCGCTTCACCCGCGCACAGCACCTCCACTCGTCCACGCGCTGTCGACGCGCGCACGAACCCTCGCTCGCCCCGACGCGAACGCATATCGCCATCTAGCGCGCGCGCGTACCCTTGAATTGATCGACGACCACCGCATGGCGGGCTCGAGCAAGGCGAAGACCGCCGCCGCCGCCGCCGGCAGAGCCACCGCTCGAATGGCGAAGACGGGCGACGTGATCCCGCTCGCGGACGCGAAACCGTCGAGAAAGTCAAAGAAAGATCTTCCGCGAGTGATTTACGTCGGGCACGTCCCGCACGGGTTCTACGAGACGCAGATGCGGGAGTATTTTGGGCAATTCGGCGACGTGACTCGAGTCAAGGTGAGCAGGAACAAAAAGACGGGGCGGAGCAAGCACTACGCGTTCATCGAGTTCAAGCACCCCGAGGTGGCGTCGATCGTGGCGGAAAGCATGAATAATTACTTGCTAGCGAATCAGGTGTTGAAGGTGACGCTGATCGAACCGGAGAAGGTGCACCCGAAGACGTTCGAGGGAACGGGGACGAAGTTTAAGAAGGTACCGTGGCAGCGGCGGGCGGCGGCAAAGCACAACAAGGATAGGACGGATGCGGAGAAGGCGAAGCGAAACAAGGGTTTGGTGAAGGCGGAAGATAAGCGGCGAGCAGCGATCGCGGCCGCGGGTATTGACTACGAGTTCCCGGGGTATAAGGCTATCTTGTCCACGGAGAAGCCGAAGGCGAAGAAGGCAAGTACGCCAGCGAAGAAGGCAAGTACGCCAGCGAAGAAGGCAAGTACGCCAGCGAAGAAGGCAAGTACGCCAGCGAAGAAGGCAAGTACGCCGGCGAAGAGCCTGGCCAAGGAGAAGATGACCCCGAAAAAAACACCGGCGAAGGTGAAGAAGACCCCGGCTAAGAAGGATGTGGAGAGTACTGAGGAGAAAAAGAAGACACCGACACCCGTTGCGAGGAAGACGCGCGGCGCACTGAAGCGCACCAACGAAACTCCGGCGAAACCGGCGAAGAAAGCGAAGCAATAGCTATTTTTGTAGTAGTCTACACACAATCTAAAATTACAACGAGACTCTCTCGTCGTCGTCGACGGGCGGAAGCGCGAAAGAATTGGGCAATAGCACTGAATCGAGGACGGATGGCCCGTTTTGCGCATGAACGACATTCGCCGTCGTCGCATCCAGAGGGAAGCTTCGCATCGGCACAGCGTTCACATTTGACGGTCGATGATACATTTGGATAGTATCAATCGTCGGCACGTTCGATTCCTTGTCGTCATCCGGGTCATCGCGCGTCGGACTATTTTCAGCCGCCGTGTCGACGTCGCGATTGAGCAACACTGCTTGCTCCTCATAAAAGTGTTGCAGCACTGTCTGGCTTGCGCTGAGCGCCTCAGCGAACGTGTGCTCCTCACGAAAATCGCTCATAAATGAAGGTTGGAACATCGAGCCGCTTCCATGCGCGTTCTGACGCAAGACAGCGCTGCGTCCACTAAAGCGATGATGCGAACCGCTTTCCTTTTGCACGGGCTCAGCGAAACGCGTTGACTTTCTCAGCACACTCGAGCTCATTTCGGCCGATTTCCCGAGAGCAGTTTCGTTCGCATTCGCGAAACCGTTGAGAGAAATAAGCACATCTCGTCCACTCGCGTCTGGTTCCCAATTAGGGTATGTCGCCTGGAACGTCAAGAAACTCTTCTCCATCTTGCCTTGACGACTGCGCTGGTCCTTGTTTGCATGACTCGGCGCGCCATAGTGTTTATTCCCGTGTCGAATGAAGTCAAAAGCACTCATCGAGCAGATGTCACCGACGCCTGATTTATTAACGGTGAATTGTCGGACGAACTGAATGATGTCTCCGACAGAGTCGCTCAAAGGGAACCAGAGAACAAACGGTGCCGCAAACACGGAGGCAATTTCCTCTAAAAATAGGATCGCCTTGGGGGTGAAAAAAGAATTGAACTCGTGCACGACCTCTTCTTTATGTGCGGAATCTCTCCAGTGTTTGGGAAGGTAATGCGTGTGCGCCACGATCTTGGACATGATGGCGTTGGGTTGAAACACCGCGTTTTCCGTCGCCATCAGTGCTCGAGAGAAGGCAAGAATGGTACCCAAGACCGCAGTCACCCACAGTAAATCTCGGTCTCCGACGTAAGCCTGCAGCAATCTATCATCGATGATAGCACAAAACAGCGCGCACGCCGCGAAGGCACCGACGACGTACGACACAAACTTGGCCAACACGTTCACCACTGGAGATGGAAACTGCGCGACATAATCTTTAGCGTGCGGGTAGGCCGCCGCCAATCGTTGTTGTGTGAAGTGAGGAAGTTCGTTGAATTCACGCATGCGCCAGTATGCGTATGAGCTCCAGTCACGCGTGCCGACCGTGGACGGAGTGTTGTAAAACTTTTCTGCGTGCGAAAGCACAAAGTACATGGACAGGAAGATGGCGACGAACGGAGAAAGAATGGCGTTGATGATCGCGAGGCATCTGAATCGATGGCGCAGCGCTGAGGCGTCATAAAACGACGGCACGACGTTGAAGTTTTCATCGAACATGCCGTGAAACACGGCGAGATCGATGTTCCACTCGATCACTTTTGTGAACCACCGGTGGCGCCTCAAGCCTGGCACGTCGAGAGTGAGTCCCAGCACGTCCCTGTTCACCATACCGACGAGATAATTTTCCTTTCTCAATATCCTCGCCACGATGTCGTGCTCGCTTAGATCGCGCGCGATGCTCAGTCTCGTCGTTGCCTGCAAGTGAACCACGCGTTGAAGCACCTCGGGCCACGTGATCGTGTACATATCCCTGTCGCTCAGCGCCAACTTTTGATGGCAAAACTTCCTCGTCGCAGCCAAGGGTGCGACGTCGTGTGCCAACCTCGTCGCGCTCCATACCCAATAAACCGAAAAGAGCAAGAGATACATCGTCACCACCGCGTTTCTCACAAACCCACCGTACTGATACGGTCTCGAGAACACGGCATCGCGTAAGATGTCGCACCGCTCCGCGTCTTGAGCGCACGTCGTCCGCAGAAAGTCGAAATCCACGTAAAGCAACAGAAACCCGCTCAACCAAATCGTGAACCCGAGCGTGCACAGATTCGCCACCCGCGTCGTCACCGCACACGTGTATCCCTTTGCGCCGAAGTACGCGTATAATCTCGCGAACGCGATATCGAGGTCACCGTTCTCGCTCAGAAACGTCCCGTTCTCGCTCGTCTCTCCGTACCCGCCATCCGCGTCGTCCCGTTCCACCGCCTCTCGCTCGAGCAATCCTTCGTGTTCGCACGCGCTGTAAACCGTCATCATATTTCACGTCGTCAATCTCTCTCACTCTCGCGCGCGCGTCGTCGCTCGTGCGTCTCGCACGCGTCGGCGAAAGACTGATTTTTCAATCTTACTGGTTGCGTCGCGTCCACGTCGCTCTCCCTCCCATCGCGTACCTCTCGAGCGCGTCGTAGGCGTCCATGGTGTCCGCGCTCATGAACTCGCGCGCGCTCGCGACGCGCGCGTCGTTCGCGTCGGCGTGTAACGCGCGCGCGTGGACGTTCGGGGTAACGACTCTTCAAAAATCATAAAAATGAAGTATTTACGAAGACGCGCCAACAACTCTACGGTGGCCCGGTGACGAGCGCGTGGACGCCGAAGCAGAGGAATAAAACCCCGCCCAGAATACCGACGACGCGTTCGCCGTCCTGGGCGCGATCGGCGAGCTTCCTACCGCCGATCACGGCGACGCCGGTGCACAACGCGTGTCCGAGAGATCCGCCCAGCGCGACGCCCGCGACGTCGCTCTGCGCAGCCAACCCGATCGTCGCGATCTGCGAGCGATCCCCCCACTCCGCCAAAAACGTCACCGCGAACGCCTCGGCGAAGACGGTGGAAACGCGATCCCTCGAGCGCTTCCCTTTCTCCCCTCGCTTCCCGCCGCGCGTCTTTCGCGCGAGCTCCCTCTCGACCTCCGCGAGTTCATCCTCGTCCTCGGACGACCCACTCGAGAGCGAATCTCGCAGCGCTCTCGCGCCGAAGACGAAGAACAACACCGTCGTCGCGTTATGCGTCGCCCTCGGACTCACGCTCGTCGTCACCGCCGCACCGACGACCGCCGAGAGCACCGTCATGACGACCAGCGCGAGCCAAGACCCGAGGAAAACGACCCCTCGCGCGTGTCGCATCGCGAGCAGCGCCGCGATGAAGAACGTCTTATCCCCGATCTCACTCAGGACGACCAACGCGCTGGACTTGAGGAAGCCCTCGACGAACGGGGTGGACATGACGACGACGAATGTGCGCGTGGAAGTGACGCCACCGCATTGCGCCGAGCGCATGCGATTGGCGCTGCGACGGGCGCGAGATCTCGCACGCGCGCGCGCACGGTCGCTGACGACGCTTGAGCCATCGTTTTACGCGTGTCCGCGAACGGCGGCGGCGATGGCGCGGTGGACGATCGTCCACGGTGCGACGTCTTCGCGCGTGGACGCCTCGAACGACGCGTCGACCGACGCCGAGCGCGTCGCCCTGTGCGCGCCGAGCGCCGGAAGCGAACACCGAGCGGCGCGAGCGCAGCTCTGGGTCGAGGAAGAAGAGCGGGAGGCGCTGCCGAACGCGTGTGGGGTCGTTCGAGATGGGCACCCGGTGCGCGGGGGGGGCGCGCGGACGCGCGCGGCGTTTCGGGCGACGACGCGAGACGAGCGCGCGAGCGCGCGAGGTGCGTCGATCGTCTTCGCTCGGGACGTATTTCGTGAGAGGTCGTTGGTGGTGGACGTGTACGAGCGGAAGGATGTCGCGCACACGTTCGCGCTGACGCACGCGGGACGGGACGTGTTCGAGTGGTTGGCGGAGCGCGGCGTGACGTGCGCCACGACGGAGCGACCAGATTCGGACGACACGGCGACGTGGGAGATCGTGGACGCGAGCATACGTGGGGGTGCGAATGACATGCTTCGACGCGATCCGACGACGCGATCGACGTCCAAGGATCAGAGCGCGAACGAGTGTTTGATGGTTGTTCCGAGCGCTTTTTGCTCCAACGAACAGGCGGCGCGGGATAATCACTTCATGGCGTCTACGAGCGAGGGCATGAGCGCGCTTGAGATTCGAGAGCGAGCGGTGGCGGAGCATAAGAGTTTGTGCGATGGCTTGCGTTCGCTCGGGATGAAGATCAATTTGTTCTCGCACGACGAAAATCACGGTGCGCCGGATTCGGTCTTTCCGAATAACTGGCACCAACTGCGTGAGGGCAAGCTAAAACTGTTCCCGATGAAGGACGAGAACAGAAGACGAGAGAGGCGTGAAGATATCATCGACTTTTTGAAGATGAAGCACCCGGGCATCGTCGTTGACGATTCACTCCTGAGATTTGAACGACAGGACCCGCCAAAATTCCTTGAAGGCACGGGTTCGCTTGTCGTCGATCACGAGAACCGGATCGCGTACGTCGCGCTCAGCGAGCGTGCGCACACCGACGTCGTACAACAGCACTGCGCCGATGAGAATTTGACCCCGATCATGTTCACGGCCGTCGACGCCAAGGGCCGAACGATCTACCATACCAACGTCATGATGGCTGTGTGCACGGACGTCGCCATCGTGTGCGCCGCCTCGATCGCCGACGAGAGCGAGCGTCGACGTGTGCTCGACGCCCTCAAATTGAAACCCGGGCGAGAGATCATTGACATCACCCACGACCAGGTTGACGCCTTCTGCGGGAACGTCCTCGAGGTTCGAACCGCCTCGGGCGCGTCCGCGCTCGCGCTCTCCGCTCGCGCGCTCGCCGCGTTCAATCCCGACCAACGCGCCGTCCTCGATCGAATCTTCGACCGTCTCGTCGTCGCCAATTTCGACATTATCGAGCGCATCGGTGGCGGCGGCGTTCGGTGCGCCATCGCCGAGCACTTCGTCTAGACTCTCGTCTAGAGTGAAGAAAAATCTCACCAAGGTGCCAATAAATCCTAGAGGCGGCGCCGCATGGAACCGTTTCGCGGCATTTCGCGCGCACTTCGAGCGTCACGTCTCGACGCGCGCGTCCGCGCGCCCCGACCGCGCGTCGTCGACCACCTCGAGCGCGTTCGAGACGTCGCCGGGCGCGCGCCCGACCACGATCGTCGACGACGCGCCCGCGGTGTCGTGGAGAAGTTGAGTTTCGCGCGGGAAGACCGATCGCTCGGTCGCGTCGAGCGACGACGTCGCTCCCGTCCCGCGCGACGGTGACGCGAGATGTCGCTTCGTAAGCTCGAGGCGACGGTGCCGGCGGTGAAGCGACAGACGGTGTTGGACGCGCTGACGAAGGATGGCGGGCTCGGGCACGAGACGCACGTCGGGGAGTTCATCGTGTGCACAGCGTGCGAAAACTGCGTCGTCATCTCTGTCGTGTGCTCGAGCGCTCGGGCGGGTGAGTTGATGAACGCACTCACGTCGAAAGGGATCGGGGTGCAGTACGGGACGCTGACGTCGGTAAACGTGGCGAGTCAGCGCCCGAATCCGATCGCGCTCGCAAACGAGTTCAAGGATCTCAAAGCAAAGATTGAGGGTCGAGCGCGAGTAGACTTTAAGGACGATCACGAGTTCACGCGACGATGGAAACGCCGACAGAATCGATTGGAGCGGAGGAAAATTAATAACGTCTCGTCCACCGCCGCGAAGAGCGTCGAGGAGCTGTACAACGAAGTCCTCGGCATGGCCGTCGATGGGTCCCACTTTTACATCTCCGTGATGTGTGCGAGCGTCATCGCGGGTGTTGGGTTACTCACAAATTCGTCTGTGGTCGTGCTAAGCGCCATGCTCATCTCTCCTCTCATGGGACCGATTCTAAGCTCGGCGTTTGCGCTCGCCATCGGTGATTGGGTGCTGTTTTGGGCTTCTGTTTTCGCCGAAATACGCGCTGCCATCGTGACGTTCCTGGTTGGTTCTCTTGTTGGGATCATCTACGGTCCGTACGCGGTTTCGTACGGCGAAAACCAGATTCCAACGGCTGAGATGTCAGGTCGAGGGCAGCTTCATGGCTTGCTAGGCGGCTTGATCATTGCCGTCGCCTCCGGCGTCGTTGTTGCGATGTCCATCACCAGCGATGGGGTGAATTCTCTGGTCGGCGTAGCTATTAGTGCATCGCTTTTGCCACCAATCGTAAACTCGGGGACCATGATAGTTTTCGCAACTGGAATCTCCAACGCGTGCGACGATGCATCGTCGATGAAGTGTACGATGACGAGTCAAAAGTTCTTGGAGAAGGCGGGGATCTCATTCGCCCTGTACGTGACAAACGTAGTGACGATAATTCTGGTTGCCAGCTTCATATTCTATAACCAAAAGATTGGTCTGTTCAAGGGTTTCGTGGTCAACTTGAGTACAGAGCTCTTAAATGTCGGCAATAAACACGTGCGCGACAAGTTGCATGTGGCCACAGCTATCAAGGGTGCGATCGGCGAGCGCACGTTTGATAAGCTCCTTGATGATGCAACGGCAGGAACGATGGCTGAGAGACCAACAATTAGCCAAAGTGAAAAGAAGGCACCAGTCGACACAGTCGACGTCGAGGCTCCCGAACCCGGAGAAGCCGCCGAAGTCGAAGAGTACTGCGTGCCAGACGAGGACTTCATGAGCGAATTTTCAGTCCTTCGTCCGTTTCCCGAGCCTCAGGGGGTGCAAAGGCCCGCATTCGCCGCCTACGAAGAGGGAGACCACGTATTCGGCTGGGTGAAGCGCATTCGAGAGATGATCACGTACTAACGAGTCGCGCAACGATAGAACTGTAGCCCACGCGTGCACGCCAGACACGCGTCGATCCGCGCGCTCGATGTCGAGCTTTGTCCGCCGGTGAAATGAAAGCAGTGTTCGGACATTCCCCCGCGCGCTTCCTTCGCGTTCGCCCGAACGGTCGCCCCGGCGCGTTGAAAATATCCAGCACCCCTGATTTTCACGGCACGACGGTTTAAATCACGAGGAATCTCCCACCAGTCATGACTCAGGAAAAGTACATCGCGGTCGACCGACACAGGGGGGGTGTCGACATCGAAACAAGATTCGGATCGCGTCGCCCCGTCGTCGACACACCGCGCCGCTCGCGCCCGCGCACGTCGCGTCGACGCCCACGCACGCGCACGTTTGCACATGCACGCCGCCGCCGCGCGCGCCGTCCGGGCGAACGTCTCGACGCATGCGCCGATTACCACGCGAAACGACACGCGCGAAACATCGCGTTCGGGCGCACGCGCTCGACGCGTCGTCCGAGCGCGCGGGCGCGAATGCGCGACGCGGGCGATCATCCCGCGTCCTGGGGCGAGCATCGCCGCCGGGTTGGAGATTCCGTCGTACGAACACGTCAGAGAGGCGTACGAAAAGGTCACGGGAGGGGTGGTGCGCACGCGCTTGACGCACTCGAAGACTCTGAGCGCGCTGTGTGGGACCGATCTGTATCTGAAGCACGAGTGGGAGCAAGCCACGGGTTCGTTTAAGGAGCGAGGCGCGAGAAACGCGTTGATGGCGCTGGACGAGGACCAGAAGAAGCGAGGCGTGATCGCGGCGAGCGCGGGAAATCACGCGCTCGCGCTGGCGTATCACGGACGCGAGCTTGGAATTCCGGTCACGGTCATCATGCCCTCCATCGCGCCGCTGACGAAGATCACGAAATGCCAAAAGTTGGACGCGCGCGTCATCCTGGAGGGAGACACGATCGCCGACGCCGCGCAGTACGCTCGAGAGAACTATGTGGAAACGGGCGAAAAGCTCAAGTACATCAACGGCTTCGATGACTTTGAAATCATCGCCGGTGCCGGTACTGTCGGTATCGAGATGCTCGAGGACGTTCGTGACGCTGATGCTGTGGTCATTCCCGTCGGCGGTGGCGGTCTGATTGCCGGTATTGCCCTCGCCGTGAAGCAGCTCAAGCCTGGTATCAAGGTGATTGGCGTCGAACCGGATCGCTGCGCCTCGATGACGCTCGCGCTCGCGGCTGGCGAGCCAGTCAAGGCCCCGACGACCGCGACGCTCGCGGACGGTCTCGCCGTCCCGACTGTCGGTCCTCGCTCGTTCCAAACTGTCAGGAACTTGATCGACGAAATTGTTTGCGTGAGCGAATCTGACATCGCTCTCACCATGTTACGGCTCATCGAGAACGAAAAGCTCGTTCAAGAAGGCGCTGGTATCGCGGGTTTGGCTGCGGTCATGACCGGTAAGCTCCCAGGGCTCAAGGGCAAGAAGGTCGTCGTCTGCATGTGCGGTGGTAACATCGACACGAGCACTCTAGGCAAGGTGCTCGAGAGAGGCTTGGTGGGTGACGGTCGCCTTGTGCGCTTCTCATGCGTTGTCCCAGATCGTCCCGGCGGCATTGCGAGCGTCTGCAACAAGATTGCCGGAGTTGGTGCTTCCATTAAGCACATTCTCCACGAACGTGCGTGGTTGGAGCAAGACTCCCACTCCGTGCTCGTTGACGTCGAGTGTGAAGTGACAGACGCCAAGATGGGTGAAGAACTGTACGACATCATCAGCGAGAGCTACACTCTCCGCACCGCGAACTTCGGGCCGGCTAAGCGACCTCAAATCAAGCCTGGTAGGGTAGTCATCACTGATGACTCGTCCGACACCTCTAACCCGGTAGTCGCGTGCGCATTGGACGAAGAGTGCATCTCTGTTTATCCAGAAGACAAGTAAACATCCACGAAATAGAATCCAATTCGCTGTAATACTCTAAACACACGCTGTAGCCACCACTTCAAGTACAAATACAAGTACCTGGTACCGGTACCTAAATCATTACAAGTACAACAAACTCTAAACTACATCTACCGCTAAGCTCTCTGCAAACGCGATGGCAGCCAGCAGGCTGTCTGCACCGATGGCCTCCTCTACAGACTCGCGCGCCTCCGCGGTGAGCGCGTTACTCAACGCCGCAGAAGTACCGGTCGGTAATATATACCGAATGATCACGCCGATGAATGCCTTCGTGTGATCTGCTAGCTCACTCGTGCTCTCCTCGGATGTATACAAAGCACAAATAGTTTGTATGCCGCTGCGTCTCATAAAGTCACGTTGACGCGTTTGGCTGTCCGCAACGACGACAAGCAACAACTCGAGAACCTCCGCTCGAATTTTCGAGTCCTCTGAGTCATTTTGTAAACGAACCAAGAGACGCTCCATGTTATTGTCGACAAAATAATCGCACAGGGCAGGGACAAACAGGCACATTCCTCGAAGAGCGCGGAGGCACAGGCGAGTCTCCTCAATCTCGACCACTGTGATCTCGTTCGACGTCACGACGTCCACGAAATGCTGCACGATATCGCGCGCATCTTGGTCGAGCGCTTCTCTCAGAAGAGCGCACAGTTGCTCACTTCGCTCGTGACGACGTAACAATTCGAGATGTCCGAGCCATTCCTTGTAGGCCAACAATCGGGCGTTTTCGCTCTTTTCCTCAACGCCCCGTCGAAGGTTTTCGATCGCCCGTCGCCAATCCGTGGAAATATAATCGTGCTCCAACACGTCGACGAGCATGCGCCACTCGGGTTCCCACTCTTCTGAGTTAAAATGTCTCCAAAACGGCTCGCGGCAACCGCCAATGAGTGGCCTTTGCGACTTCGACATTCACCCTCTCCTGCGTGCGAGCACACACTTATCTCCGTCAGCGTTCGAGAAAAAAACGTCGATGATTCGAATGTACGATCCCATTTTCGGCTCAGATGCACTTGCTTGGATCTTCACTCGTCCACGCGTCGGAGGCAGTCGCACTCGACGAGTCGTCTCTCGCGGTTCAACATCTCTGTGAGCGCCTCAAAGAGACTTCGGTGGCGCTCATCCACCGAAGCGTATCTAAGCGCTTCATTTCTTCGCGGTCGCACTGTCGCACGGCGCCTTTCCCGCGCTCGACATCGCTCCGTCGAGTCGGACCGTTGGCTTCGCCGCGCGCGTCCAACCGCGCGTTCGTTCGAGTGCGCTCGCGAGTATATCTCTCGCCTCCTCCGACGTCGCACCCATCGCGGGCAGTGGAATCGGACCTTTTACCTTGTCGCTCGTCATCGCCGTGGGATCGGAAAACGCGCCGGACGATCGAGGGAGACGCACCTCTGATGAATTCAGCGTCGAGGAAATCTGTCGAGCCCCGCCTCGGAGCGTGAACGTTTGCGAACGGATCGACGTCGCGAAACGGGCGTTTCGGAGGGTGCGCGTCCAGCCAAGGCCGGCGCGCGCGCGACGAGGCGAGTGCGCGCGCGCGAGGCGGAGTATGCGGTCGCGGGCGCGCGAAGGATCATCGTACTTCTACGTGTAACCTCACAAAGCGCTCGAGAGGCGCGTCAGTAGTCCCTACGGTCTCGTTTATCTCGCCGAGGCGAGGGCGAGCGGGAACGGGTTCGGGATCGTTTTCTCTCTCGACGATCGTCTCGTCGGCGGTCGTCGTATTGACGGTCGTCGTCTCTTCGGCCGCCGCCGAATCGAGGACGACGGTCGTCGTCCCACTCGTCGTATCTACCACGACTCGTCGATCGCGAGCGCGAGCGCGATCGCGAGCGCGATCGACGACGGTCGTCAACATCCGGCGGGGGCGGCGGCGGAGGTGGTAGTGGGGCGCGCTCTTCGAGCTGACCTTCCTCTTCGGAGCCAGAGGACTGCTGCGGCGACGGCTCACGTCTGCGGTGGCGATCGCGCGGGGGCGGCGAACGCGACGGCGAACGCGGCACCACCCGACGTTCGCGTTCTCTCTCTCGCTCCCTCTCTTCGTCGTACGTGCGGTCGCGCCCACGGGCCGGAACGCTCTCCCGCTTGCTCCCAGCGCGCGTCCTTCCGATGCCGCCGCCCAAACGACGCGGTAACCACGACTTGGACGTGCGAGCGCGCTCGACGTCCACGATTACTCGCCTGTCTTCGATGCGTCTATCGTCCATCCCTCTGTATGCCGCTCGCATGTCGCCCTCGCGCTCGAACTCGATGAAGGCGTACCCTCGAGACTTCCCATCCTTGTCTCGTATCAACTTTACGGAGCACACGGGGCCGTAATACTCAAACTCTCGCTTGACCTTCGCCTCGTCCACGTCGTACGCCAGGCGAGCGACAAACAACGTACGATAGGGATCACTTGTCGCGTTCGGGTCATCCTTCGGCCTGTACGCGTCCACCGCATCCTTGATGGCTTCTCTTGCCTTTCGCTCGTTTGCCTCGCGTCTCGCCGCTTTCCGCACCTCCTTACGCACCATAACGTACACCCCGCTCGGTTTACGTCTACTATCGTCACCAACGTCGTCATCGTCCGCACTTCCACGCCCCGTCCTTTTCTTCCCGCTCTCAAACTCCCCGAGCGCGCTCGCGATCCCGCCCAACCGCTGCGTCTTCTTAGGTTTCGGCGGCGGCGGATACCATTTCAGAGGCGGCCTCGGCGCGAACATCGGAAGCAAATCCGGCGACAACCCGGTCGGGTGATTGATCGCCATCCCTCGAAACTGTCCCGGAATCGGCCGTCCTCCCGGCATCATCATCATCGGCGGTCCGCCCGGCATCATCGGCGGTCCGCCAGGCGTCATCATCGGCGGCATCCCCGGTGCGCCCATCGGCGCCATCCCCGGCCGTCCCAGCATCATCGGTGCCACGCCCATCCCTCCCATCGGCGCCATCGGCGCCATCATCGGCGCCATCCCGATCGGCGCCATCCCGATCGGCGCGTGCGTTCGCGCCGTGCCCCCCGCGGGTGCACCTAGGGCGTGCGCCGCGCCACCGAATCGCTGCGGCGCCCGCTCTTGGTGCGCGGCGGACCCTGGCGGGGGCGGGACGTCGCGGTGCATCATGAGCGT